AACACATAAAGTCCAGTTGACACATCTCCGCGGCGGACTTCTGGGCAGGAGAGGGAGATTTAATAAATGACGGCGAGGCCTCTGTGTGTGTACAGTCAACCGGCCAGACAAGTGTTTGATTTCCCTCAAGGACACAATGTTTCCCCTCCACGAGAAAACACACAGATATTCCAATCATGTTGTGTCTGGGACTCTCAGCCAGTAGACACTGTGTGTGTATTGTTTATGTCTGTCTTCATATATATACATATATATATATATATATATGCATATATGAAAAAGACCCTTGTCAATCTGCACAGGAAGGAAATCAAAGCACAATAATATCCAGCTGACATCACACTGTTGTGGAGGTGTGGGTGAAACCTTGAGAATGAAAAGGTGCAGGAAGGAAAAGGTAAATCTCCAGATCTAATGCATGAGAATAGAAGCAGAGAGATGAATAGAGACAGAGAGAGATTAGAGGTGGCACAGCTTTCCTCTGTGAGCTGCTGCGCTTGATAAACCGGTCAGGGGAGGTGCAGGAGGTCTGGGAGCAGCGACGCTCAATCACCCCAAAAAAAAATAAAGAAGAAAAGTGTGTTTTTCACCTTCGCTATGGGATAAAGGAAGAAATGAGTTCTCCTGCTGTGTCAGGAGGAAACCACAGACCTGAGTTAACTTGCTTAATGTTGGTCCGACTCTGAGAGAGCTGAAGTCTGTGTCGGTGCAGATACAGATGTGATGCAGAGGTGAGGAGGAACACAAGGACAGAGAGAGAGAGAGAGAGAGAGAGAGAGAGGATTCAAAGGCACTGAGCAGCAGTAAGTACCTGTCCCAGCTGCAACATTAAAACATGAATAATTACAGTATAATCCAATAATATAATATAAATTATTCTGAAGTGGACCACTCTGTATAATGAGTCCTTTTCCTTTTGGTACTTTAAGTGATGCTCATACGTTTGTACTTTCAGTTAATGTGGATTCTGTTCCCTTTGGACAGAACCAGGCTAGCTGTTTCCCCCTGTTTCCAGTCTTTATGCTAAGCTAAGCTAAGCTAAGGCAAGCTAGGCTAACCTCATATTAAACAAACAGACATGAGAATGGGATTAGTTTTCTCAACTGAACGTTTTTCCCAACATGTCAAACTATTCCTCTAAATTAATTGATTAGTCGATCAACAGAAAATAAATCAGAGACTATTTTGATAATCGATTGATTGTTTCTTCTGGAACGTCTCATTCTCGCGAACACGATATCTCAGTGACGCCTTGAGGGAACAAATTTTGGCGCAAACATTCATTTTGACTCAAGGATGAACTGATTAGAATTTGGTGGTCAAAGGTCAAAGGTCAAGGTCACTGTGACCTCACAAAACACATTTTCGTACGTAACTCAAGAATTCATATGTTAATTATGACGTGTAACAGGATAATATGATGAAAGGATGATGTTTTATATCCAAAAGGTCAAAGGTCAACTTCACTGTGACATCATAATGTTCCTCAGAAACACCTCTGGTCATTATTCAACGCTGTAACTCAGGAAAGGGAGATTGTGACCATGTTTCCTGACACTTGGCTGGTTAGTGGAGGCGTACGACAAATTTCAATATATTCTGACATTTTACAGCCAGAATGACTGATCAACAAAATAACTGGCACAATAACTGATAATGAACAATTAAAAATGGAGCAACTAATGAGTACAACCCTGAATCAGAGACTCTCGTTTGGTCTGACCAACAGAGATAATCAGTTTACAGTCATATAAAACACTTTTAGCACGTAGTTGTCCTGGACTGGATTATATTGTAAAGGTACTGCCTTTCTTTGCGTTCGCCCCTGTTGGGTAAATATCAGCTCTCTGCGGGCGGCTGTCTTTGTTTGGAGGCATGCTGTCTGGGAAACGCTCGCACACGCCACAAACAAACACATGTACCGCAGCAAAGCAAACACACGGCGGGAGATATGGATTTCTGTTGATGGCTGTGTTCGAGTCGCCTTCGGCTGTGCACCTGTGGAGGAGAAGTTCAATAATCGTTTGTCAACAGCACACACACACACACACACACACACACACACACACACTCGACTGTCTTTATAGCTCCCAGCACACGAGAAACAGACTCCCCAGCTCAGGTAGAGACACCGCCCCGTCTGTCTGGGTTCGACCCCGAGCTTCTGTGACGAAACTACTCTGTGTGCGCGCAAAAAGAACGTGACAGAACAGGGAGCTGGTTAGACGCTTTAACTGAGTGACAACACACACACACACACACACACACACACACACACACGAACATAAAGACCCATTGACAAGAACTCATCCAGACGCACTGTGTTCCTGTTTCACTGCTTTCATTAAAACGAACCTGCTCAAACACTCATCTGTCTTTCTGACAGCTGTTCAATCGGCCTCTCTAGATGCAGGATGCAATCACATGCTATTAAGTGACTCTCTCTGTGTTTGTGTGTGTGTGTGTGTGTGTGTGTGAGGGTCCAGGGGAGGCTACAAGAACAGTAAAGTGGCCATAGCACAGATAATAATAAAACTGTGTATCAATTAAAATGCATCTTATTGAGTTTACAACTGGGAGGAGAAATAATCAGCCCAGCTGTTCGGACACATTAGATACTGAGAATATAATAGGATTGTTATTTAAAGGAGAGGTGAAGAGAAAACGTCAAGCTGCAGTTTAAGTTCATTTTATTCATGTAAGACTTTATCAGGAGGAGGAGACGCAGATACGATCATACACTGTTTGTACCGAGGGGCCGCGGTGGGGATTTCTTATCTGAACTCCTTCTGCTCTCCCAGGACAACACTGAGCTGTATTATGATATGATATTATGTGTTTCGTAGATCATTGATTTTGATATTATTTTCTTATTTTCTCGCAGCTTCAACAGGTTTGAAAATGTTACCACAGAATGTAGATAATGTAAATGTCGCCTTGTCTTTTCTCACGTGGTGAAACTGCATTAAAAACTGAATCAAATCTTGAGGAACATTACGACGTCACAGTGAAGTTGACCTTTGACCTTTTGGATATAAAATGCCATCACTTCACTATCTTATCCTGTTAGACGTTTGTGTTAAATTGCGTTACAATTAGTTTGCGAATTCTTGCATCACGGCCCAAAACGTGTTTAGTGAGGTCACGGTGACCTTTAACCTTTGACCTTTGGCCACCAAATTCCAATCAATTCATCCTCAAGTCCGAGTGAACGTTTGTGCACATTTTGAAGACGTTCCCTCATGTCGTTACTGAGATATCATGTTCACGAGAAAGGGACAGACGGACGGATTTAGCTTTTCATATCATGATAGTAAACATGTCATGAGCCAATATAAATATCATGTAAATGGGATCGTGGTACAGTTTGAACCCCATCATATACATAATGATCTGACAACACACTAACAGCTGTAACACATTGTTGACAAAGACTGTAGATGAATAAACACATAAAATGTGAGTATATCTGTGTGTTATAAACCATGTAATGATGTTTATATACTGTTTATAAACACTAATGAGACCTAGAGTCACATGTTCATTCTGTGAGATTTGACAAACTACATCTCAAACCTGACCCTCAAATAAACAATCAAAGAATAAAACCTTGCAACAGCAAATAAGAAAGGAAATCAAATTGAAGCCGTTCTGCAGTAAACCTATTAAACCTGAATGAGTCGAGTGATTTCAGTTCCACTGAGCGCACGAGGACCAGACACACGGTCCAGACTGAAGGTCAGTCGACAGCAGCGGCCACCCATCTCCCTGACAACAGACCCACGTCCTGGTCCGCAGAAGTCGCAGACAGACACAGTGTGAACGAACTGAAACTCCGCGCAAATAGATTTCATATGTGCCAGAGTCGAGAGATTAAATCAAATATTAAACCCAGTGAGACATAATTGGATGTGCCATGACACGATGTTGTATATTCACACTGCATCACAAGTTGGCAGAGTTAAGAAAGCAGCACACACACACACACACGTACACAAATGAACACACTCAGACGCATATGGAAGCAGTTAACCGAAGGTAAACACACACAAACAACCTGACAGCTCGACTCTGTGTTTTGAGACATAAAGGGGCCAAAGTCTAATCTGTAACAGCATCTAATTAACTACGGTTCTCACAACTGTCCAAAGTGTTTCAGAACAAAGTTTAGCTGAGGCCCGAGGAGAAAAGAGAAACTGCCGCGGAGGAAGAGAGAGAGAGAGAGAGAGAGAGAGAGAGAGAGAGAGGAGGAGCCAATCTGAGGTTTGGTTGCTGTAGTTGTTTGGGTTGTGATGTCCAGTTATCAGACAAGTTTCATAAACAAAGAAGACCCAGGATGTAGAGTGTTCATGCTGCTGTAAAGTCTCAGCAGATTCAGTGTCTTCACTTAAAGCTCCTCCAGTGTAAAGGTCTGTGTCCATGTGTAGTGTGATTATAGATCAGCTCTAGCTTCTATATTAATACTGTGAAAGTATCAAAGCCTCAGTCCACAGAGAAATGCACACAGCCTGTATTCAGAAACTGAGCCTTAAAACCAGCCGTCAGGACTTCTGGAACTTTGTGATGTCACAACAAAGCAGTCACCAAGCCCCGCCCACCTGGACCCACCATCCAAACCTTTACAGGATTTGGTTTCTCTGAGTGTTTTTACCTGAAATCTGCTACAAGTCTAACCCAGCAAAAATCATCTTTATATTTCTTCAGTAAAAACCAAATGTAAAAAAGAGCTTTCCCTCTAAAATCGTGACTCATATCACAATCAGAATATCTGTCAAAATAATCACAATGATTTTTTATCCCCCACATCGTTCAGCCCTGGCGCACGCTGCACCGACATCAGGCTGTTCTCTCTAACTCTGTAACTTCAGAAGAAAAACACAATGAAACCAGGAGGCTGAGCAGGTGGAGGGCTTTGTACTTGAACCCAGACTGAGTGCACATCTATACACATGTATTATTTACATGAATAAGCGTGAGCACGCATCAGCATGCAGACGTACCTCTCTGTCCTTCAGCTTCATGGCCAGAACCAGCTGGTTTCTGTGGTTGGCCAGCGCCTCTCTGTAGCTGCCTTTGGAGAAGAGGGCAGAGCCGAGGTTCCCGTGGGCGCGGCATTCACCTGACTGGTCACCTGTGGAGGAGAAGAACACCGCGAGACGTTCATGCTACGGCTGCTTCATTTCTTCACCTGTCAATCCTTCACTCCGCTGCTCCCTCCCCCGCCGTACCTAAAGTCTTGGTCACCTCCAGGTCCTGCTGCATGTAGGCCATACTCTTCTCAGCGTTGCCCAGAGACCAGTAGGCGGAGCTCAGGGCCGAGAACACGGATCCACGCAGCTTCAGAGAGCACGTGCCGATCTTCAGCCCCGCCTCCAGCACCACGACGGAGGCTCCGTGGAAACCGTGTGTCAGCAGCTCCTGACCGATGACGGACACGACCACGAACGGGCTCTTGTCCAGCTTCATCTTCTGCAGCTGCTGGTAGGTCGGCTCAAGGGAGTCTGAGGAGGTGAAACACACACACACACGCACACGCACACGCACGCACACACACACGCACACACACAAACACACACACACACACACAGAGAGACATGCTTACAGGCGATGTCAGGAATGGGAATCATCAATGTTGTTATTGGGAGGCAGAACGACACAAACAGTATTCAGTGACTCAAGATGTTTCCTCAGGGAGGTTATGTTCTCACCTGCAGCTGTTTGTTCGTCAGCTGGATTATACGAGAAGCACTGAGCCGACTGGCACTGAACTTATCGGAGGGATGGATCATGGGTCAGGAAAGAACCCATTAAATTTTGGGGCAGATCCGAATCATTTACTTTGAATTAGGAATGTTTTTCTCCTCTGGTGTTTGTCGTCTGACATCGGCCTCGGTGGAGCTCTGCACTCTCTGAGTAACCTTCCAGTTAATCCTTGTTTTTGCCTCTCAGGCTACAAACACTTTCTTTGTTGGGGCTGAATAAAACTTACTGATTCAGGTAATACTTTTATTTTGTTATTAGACATCTGAATATATTGTGTTTTGAAACATGAGGGTGAAACCAGCTGCTAACTAATTAGCTTCATGTTTAACTGAGGAGGTGAAAGCAGCATCGATCTTCTCATTTCACTCTCAGCATGAAAGCAAATAAAATTTTACTAAAATGCAAAACTTTTCCTTAAAGAAGAAACATTATATTTGCATTTTGAACATTTTTAGTTGCATGTTTTATATTTATGGTCATTTATATTTTTTTGTAAATGTGTCTGTGCGTTAGGAGTAAATGTTTTGTTTACTTTACGTCGATCTTCTCTATAAATGGATCGTTGTGTTGGACGTACGATCACAAATAAATCAATGGAAATAAGGAACCAGATATTTAGTCAAACAAAAGTCAACATTACAGCTGCTGTAAAATCAGCATCAGTCTTTAATTCCACTGGAAACAGCAGCGCCACTGTATTAATGTAGATACATTTACTAAATTTATTTCCTGTTTAAATAGTTCGTCTGGACTTTGTCACAAACTCACATCCAGCTTTCGTCTGACGTGTGTAACAGTGTAGAAATGGACTCTGTGTGTGTTAATGCCTCTGTCACTCACAATAACACACACATGTCCCTTGCTAGTGGTGTGTGATTATGCAACACAAAGGATTTTGTTTAATATTCAAATAACATTCTTTTCGAGAATATTTACTGCACGGTTTTGTTGGAGGGAGTGAAATGATTTCATCACGACACATCATGAAAAAATGTTGATGAGTGAGCGTTTTTATGATTCATTTTAACAGAGGTCACAGTTAAACTCAGATCCCAGTGGAACTGCTCAGTTTGCATGTGGAGCTGCGGAGGGAAAGGACCGAGAGACACTGTTGTGAAACTCCCAGAGAAGAGCCGCGACGCGAGACTGTGAAAAGCAACTGAACGCCGCCCGGAGACATTAAACTGAGCTCGTGGACTGTGCTGCTGCGCCAGGTTTGTATCGCTGCAGTGTGTCTCACAGGCCGGGGAAACATATATTCTCACGTACTTGATTTATTTGAGCAGACAGCAAATTATCAGTGAGGAAACCGGAGAGAGACAGAGAGGCCTAAAACCACAGAAGAAGAATAAAACAGGCCCCCGCTGACTGAAACTGAAGTTTATGTCAGTGAACAAATAAAGGTCCTGACCAACAGCGGAGGTTCGTAAATATCTCAACAACTATGGGATGGACTGTTATCAAATTTTGTCCAGACATTCATGGTCCCCTGAAGAGAAATCCTGCTGACTGTAGCGATCCCCTGACTTTTCCTCTAGCGCCCCCAGCAGGTCAAAGGTCTCACACCTGTAGTGAAATCTCTCAACAGCTATTGGACAGACTGACATGAGATTTAATCTGCTGTAATCTGTGCAGCTACCTCAGGGGGAAGTGATCGTCTTCCACAGACTGAAGGACGGATCTTCTAATAGAAGGAACAACACAAGGAGAACGTTGCTCCAGTTGCAAAAAACAGCTGTGGCGTTTAAATGAAGAAGTTAACAGAACAACAGCTGCTAGAGAAGGCGACGAGGTCAGTAACACTTGTATTCACATGTCACTCATGTTGCTTTCGCCACTGTCATCGAGGCTGACGAGAGCCGATCAGAGAGCGACAGTTGGTGTCTACGTCAGACTCAAACAGCGTTTCCAAACGTCTCTGTTTTAGGGGCTGGAAAACTGTGCGGCGGTGCGGACGGGACGAGTAAACTTAGCAAAACAGATGCATTTTCAAAGTAAAGCTGAGTAGTCGTGAGGATGCAGCCTGAGATTAATGGTGAAACTAAACTTTGAGACTCTTTCTAGCATCAATATTAGAGCTATAGGAGCTATACATTGTGAAATAGCAGCTGTGTTCCCAAGCTTGTTGATGTATTGCAAGACACAGCGGTAGAAATGGCGAGGGAGGGAAAATTCAGACAAACTGCATAATATATTCTTAACGTGTCTCAACACATATTCATTTGGATTTGTCAGAACAAACGATTGAAGTTGGATTTTTCCAGTTTTCATGCCAGGCATTATTGCTTAACTCGACATAATGGAAAACAACTGCAGCCGTGATCCTGATCTAAAACCGTATAATAACTTACAATGCTGCTCCCAGGGAAACCTGTTGGTATGGAGACGGAGCATGCTGTTGTTGCACCATCGGTAAATCATTTCTGGGTGATTGGAGGGAGAATTAGTGCTAATGTGAGGTCCTGGGGGGGGCGGGGGGGAGTACAGAGCTCTGACCTCTGGATTTCACCTTCTCTGCAGCTACGTTTTCCGATTTAGGCCGAAGTGGAATCTGTGTGGAAGAGTGAGTTAAAGCCAAACACCCAAGACATGTACAAATGCGCGGCTCGTGTTTTTCGCTGTATGTTGCAACAGTCTGCTGTTTAAGCAATTTACTGACTGCTTCGTGCATGTCCGCCACTGTTATCTTCATATTGTGACTTTATTGGACATTTTGAAAAACATTCACTCTCAACAAACCAATTCACCACATTTGTTTTACTTGTACGAGAGAGGAGACCGCCACCGACCACAACCGTCTCCAACCGGGAGCTAATTTAACGACAGCATCCAAGTGCTCACACAAAACCACCAGCTCTGCTGCAGATGCTTTTGTGAATTGCTTGCAACATAAATTCATCGCTAACAAATCATAAGTAACTGATTTAAGTAATAATTACAGTCAAAACCAATCTACGAGAAAAACACTGGCACAGATACTGGAGGTTGTTTTTCATGGCGGTGAGCACCACGCTGTCTGTGTGACAGAAGGACCACGAGTCTGAAGTTAAACGGTCCCTTACTGCCTCGCCGCTCTCTGCTGTGCTACTGTAGCATCATGCTGACTTACAGCCTGTCAGGTTTTACACCGTGCACGCTCAGTGTCTCCAGGCTGGAGTCACTGAGCCGCATCTCCACATTAAAGGTCCCGTATCTTACATTTCTCCAGTGTTTGATTTGAGGTGTTTGATCCATAAGAAGATATATTTGTGGTTTTAAAGAACCAAAAACCATCTCAGTGTAGTTTTACATCTCCTCTCTCAGGCTTCTCTCTGCAGCTCTAGTAACAACAGGTCGGGGAGCCAATCAGAAGAGAGGAGGCTCTGAGCCTCTCTTCTGATTGGCTGACTGTTTTTCTGAGTGATCCAATAAAAATATAGCACATTTCAGGTAAAAACACTCAGAGAAACCAAATCCTGCAAGGTTTGGATAGTGGGTCCAGGTGGGCGGGGCTTGGTGACTGCTTTGTTGTGACATCACAAAGTTCCAGAAGTCCTGACGGCTGGTTTTAAGGCTCAGTTTCTGAATACAGGCTGTGTGCATTTCTCTGTGGACTGAGGCTTTGATACTTTCACAGTATTAATATAGAACCTGGACCTGATCTATAATCAAACTACACATGGAAACTTCACTTCACTTTATATAATACGGGACCTTGAATCAGGTCCGTTGTTCCCACACATTCAGCTGGCAGTGACGACCCTTTAGTTAAAGTGGGAGCAAATCTGAATGCAAGTTCTGTACGCTGCGATAACTGAGGAGGAAAGTGAAGGTGGAAAGACTCCAGCTGCTCTTTCACACGGGACGGCCTCCAGCTCTCCAACACACTATGGGGGATATTTTTGGGGGGGATTTGCAGCACTGAGGCTTTGGCATTTAAAGTGGAAGAAAAGTGACACAGCTGAAACTTCTGAGTTAGGGCTCATGCAAGACATATTTTAAAGTCGCTCTGTAACTTTTGAAGGAAGAAATAAGTCACTTTTACACATGAGTTGAATTAATGAGCAATAAAACGCAGCCTCGCTCAGTTCAACACACTCTGAGGTTTTTTGCTGCTGCAGCCTAACTTTAAAAAGATGTGGCTGTGTTAGTTAATCCTGTTTTTCTACGCTTGTGTCACTGTGACGCTACAACTTAGCATGTACCATTAGCTATGGCCACAGTGGCCGCTGTTTAGCAAACCAAACACACACACACACACACACACACACACAATAGCTGCCACACCTGATTTATCACAGCAGCAGAGGAAACTGTCTGAAATGTAATGTCTGGGAAAAGCGGAGCTGCAGTTCCTGTTTCACGGAGAGAGACAAAGATTTTTACCAAGAATCTGCCACACTGATGTTTCGTTGACTTGACAACAACAGAGCGTCGAACAAACCTTCCCCTCACATCCATCTTTCCTCCGGCGCGACGTTCCAGGCCCAGTATTCCCAGTTCAGCAGCACGACTCTCCTTCTCCTGTTTCTTTTGTGCAACACGTGTCAAAACAGCCCGACATCAGCTCATAATTAACTTGCACTTTATGCAAAATGAGATGAACCTGCAACCGGTCTCATTTGCACCTGGAAAGTTTTGCACGTGTCACACTGATTTGAATCACATGGCGCTCAGAGCATCAGACCTGCTTTGGTTCAGGCAGGTTACACTGTGTTACACGCTGTAGGTCGTAGCTGCTGCCACCGATACCTGATCTGAAGTACTGGTTTCTGCTGCTTAAACTCGACACTGATTCCTTTTCTCTGCTGTTTGTAAAAACGCTCAGCTCGTCTGGTCAGCCACGGCTCGTCTTCACTTCTGGATCAACACGCTCTCTCTGCCTCAAAGGGAAACGCTGCAAATACTGGGCCAGATTTTGCTCTCCAGTGTGAGAGCAGATGCAAAATTCCACGTGCACGGACATTTGCTGCAGCTTGCCAAGTGGAAGGCTATTCCCGAGACGCCCCGCTCTCATTCTGATACAGCTGAAGGGCAAAAACATAATCCCGTGCCAACTCCAGCCTGGAAACCATTCTCGATTGTATGTTCTCTCTCCCCTCATCTCCGCGCGCTGTGGAGACCTGCGCATGAAGAGCGCACCGTGAACTGTGGGGCAGACAGATCGATGACACACCAGAATCTACCTTCTAATATTTCATCGTGAACCAGCAGTAATAATCTTTAAATATCTGTACCTGCTCAGACTGCTTGGTCAGTGACGCTCTGACAGTGAACCAGAACATTTCAGCTGCTAAACGATGAGCTGAAAACCACTAAAACTAAACCATCACAAAGGTCACTACACTACTACACACTAATTCACTACCAGAGACTCCTGAACACTGTCACCTTGTCTTCACTTTGTCATTTGATTCCTATTATAAAAATATTGATTATAGGCGCTTTGACAACAACCGTAACCATAAAGGTTCCAGGTCAGATGATAAAACACTTATATGGGTCATCCTGTTTAACCTGCCAGTCTTTTCTGTTTTTAACTAATTAATTGTGATTGTTTGGTAAATTAATATATATATATAGATATATATCTCGACTGTGTCCGGGTCGTGCACTAAACAGCTCCTCCCGTCCGTGTGTTGAGGTGGGGGGGGGGGGGGGAACGGGGGAATNGAACGTGTGAATGTGGCTTGTATCGTAAAGAGCTCTGAGTGATCTATAAGTGCAGTCCATTCACCATTCAACTGAACGGGTCTCAGGTAACTTCTGGTGTGATTTGATGCCATGTTTTCCATGTGTGTGTGTGTTTTCAGACCTCATCTCCAAACCCGTGTGTATGAAGAGCCTGAGGACAGAGAGCGACCCAGACTCTCCACCTGGTTTATAGCGACCTGTCCCTGAGAACTTACGGATGATCCATGTCCAAACTCTCTGTCAGTGTGTCAGACACCAACACGACTCTTTCTACTCAGCGGTAGATGTGAGTTTTGGGTTTTAATTAAGAAATCAAGACGCTGATGACGACTGAAGTGAGATCTCCCTCACGCTCCGTCACACGCACATTATTTTCAGTTTCAGCTTCTATGCGTTTCTCTTCCTGTTTCATCTGACTTGCTTGTTTTATTCATTTTCTACATCTCCCTTTTCTTTCTGTTTCTCTCTCCTCTCATCTCCCTCCTTCTCACATCACATGTGCATTCATTTCTGTGTGAGGCCTGAATCATCAGACGAATCTTTCTACTTTTTCACACCCGAGTCCCAGAGGAGGGTTACTGAATAAAACAACAAAAGCAAAGTGGTAACTTGACAGTTTTCCTCTCACTCTCCTCCCCTTCAACTCTCAAACACAAACTTCTGGTTTGTTGCTGAGGTCGTTCATTTGTGTGACTGTCTCCGTCTGTATTAATCTGCCTCGTGTTTGCTGTGCAGGGTGTGGGGTTGTCGGACAGGTGTGTGCTCACCTCTGAGCGGCGATTTCATGGCGGCCTCCACCATGCCGACAAGCAGCTGGAGACTCTTGGGGTCCTGGGCGAGGCCGGAGGCGAACGCTGCCAGGGCGTCGGCATGTCGACCCAGGTACTGCAGCGCAACCCCCTGACGAAAGTAGGCCTGCGGGGAGAGGAAGAACGGGACATGAGCTGCTGGAGGGTTCCACATTTCCTCCGGATTCACAAGCATCTGTTACCGGTTAATAACACACTGGAGGAGGTGAAATCCACACAACTGAAAACATTAAAAGGCCATTGTACTCGAGTGTGAGTCACACCTGCAGAGCACTGATACAGCATGTGTTCACACACACACACACACACACGCACACCACACGCACAGACACGCACACACGCACGCACACGCACAGACACGCACACACGCAGGCACAGTGCACACTTCATTAGGACCCCTCGTGCATGTCACAGCAAGATTACAGACAATGAATCATGACATCAAATTCATGAAGAGGATTGAGCAGAAGACACACACACACACATGCGCACACACACACACGCACACACACGCGCACACACACTGCCGACCAGACTGTAACCTAATTGTCTTGTCTCTCTCTCTCTTCCCCTTCATTTCTCCCCTTTTTCTCTCTCATTCATCATCCCCCCCCCCCCTCCCCGTTAAGAATAATCTGTCGTGACAGTGAATGGATGAAGACAAAGAGGAGAGGAATTAGATTACATGGCAGCTCCTGTCCCGCCTGCCACTTTGTGCACCCACACCGTCTTTGTCCTGCCCTCGTCCTCAGACAGCTTCATTGAAAACGGCGGGAGCGGCGGGGTCACGGCTAATCTAATGCATTAAGCCTGTAGTCGCCGGCGTGTTGGTTGTTGGTGCAGAATGTGGACGGGGCGCGGTGTCACTTCACTGTTGATTAACACAAAGTGGGATAAATGGTCTGTAATTACAGCTGGAGCCAGAACCCTTAAAACACACGTCACAAAAAAAGAAAGAAGAAGCCTGGAATCAGTCAACGCTATGATGATAATATAACATATAATAATCTTTATTTACGGAGCAATTTCACAACCCAAGAGTGCAAAGGGCTTCAAGCAAGGCTGCACATTAAAATCAGCTAATTATAAAATGGATCTAACGAAGTGGCTCATATGATAAAAAGCACAGGGAGGATTTCAGTAACGTAAACAGGATCAACTCTGAAACTCTGCACACGCTCCGTCCCCTCTGGTTTCAAACTACTTCTCATCAACACAGCAGAGAGCGAGGCCACAAAGAGCCTCAACAACAATCAATAAGATCTTCAAATCTGTTTCTACAAACACTGAGAGGCAAGACAGTGAATCAATGCAGAAAATATCAGGTTCAGGCGAGTTAAAAGAAAATATGTTGAGTAAAGAAGGTGTAAAATCGTCTCTGTGAGAAGGAAACAAGCATATGGTGAAATCCGTCTTGTGATGTTCATTCATTCATTCATTCATTCATTCATTAGCCACACTGCTTATCCTTTAGCGTCAAAGGGGGGGGGGGTCATTTCGGGCTTTGGAAAACTGGATTTATCACAAATTTTGACACTTTACGGGCTGAAATATGCGACGGCGATTCTGTTTTAGCTCTGGAGGCTGATGCCAAGTGTCCATGCTGAGGAGAGAGAGACAGCAGCCTGCCCTCTGACCCCCATCCAGACTGGAGGGGAGAGCAGCAGGCCTGGACTGGGACGAGGAGCTGGGCTGGTAGCTGGGGCGACATATGGACGCCCCACCTGTCCGCCTACCTCTACTTAGCACGGCCGCTCAAATCTGTCACCGTCACACTGATTTGGCTGCTGCAGCGTTTCTCATTTCAGCGCGCGTGTCCCGTTCTCCACAACAATCTGCTCTTACCTTGATTGGAGGATAATTTCAGTCTGATGAGGACGATGATACCAGAGCAGGAAGAGTTATAATCATAGAACAGCAGCTATTATCGCTGCACGACCGTGTGTGTGTGTGTGTGTGTGTGAACGTACAGCACAATAGGTGAGGCTGAGTCCTGTGTGTGTGTGTAGATGTGTGCAGGTAAGTGTGTGTGTGTGTGTGTGTGTCAGGGCTGTAAACATGCCAGAGCCAGACAGAAAGTGACAGCAGGAAGAGTCTGCCTCCACCACCACCTCCAGCCTCCCACTCACACACATCCTGCCTATTAGCTCAGTCTGGCTACGCTGCCCTGCTAAGCACATACAGGAGGTACGGTCCAGACACACACACACACACACACACACACACACACACACAGACACACACACACAGACAGACACACACACACACACACACACACACACACACACACACACACACACTCTCTCTGTCTCTTGTTTTCCTTCCTCTGTGTGACTCTCAGCGGCGTTCTGGAGCATCTCAGAGAGAATCTTCTCAGATTAGAGCGTCTCCTCGCCGACCGCCGGGTGTCGCGTCTGGCTCGTCTGGTTTGCAGGTATTTTAACTGCGATTCCCAGGCGAGCTCTCGTCAACGTTACCTGACAGGTGTGTGTCAGGTAACGTGAAGCGATCAATAAAAGGGCCCAGACTAATCCTGCCTGTGTGTGTGTGCGAGTGTGTTTGTACCTACAGTATTTGTGTGTATTTATTCTCTCTAACAACACGAGTAGGAGCCCTGGGAGTTCTGGGGACTCGGCCTGTGGAGAAATGAAGCCACTGTAATTTATATTTTTATATAAATATATATATTTATATTTTCATAACAGCGATTTGTGAGTTGACAATGTGTAAACGATGTGACGGTGGAAAAGGCATCACTCATCGTGATGAACCTGCAGAGGATCATCAACTGAATCTGCAGCTTCTGCTTCATTCTCAGCCGAGCGTTGTTTACAGCCGCAGCAGGCAGATGTTTTCAGACAAACAGCTGTAAAAAAACAAAAAAAAAACACTGTCCACTAGGACGAACTAGAGTCGCCGCCTCGTGGTTGTACGCCGCCGCCAACCGGCCGAGTTACAGGAACCATGGTCGCAATCTCCTTCCTGTGTCACAGCGCTGAATAATCATGAACATTATGATGTCACAGTGAAGTTTGACCTTTGAAATAAAATGTCATCACTTTATCCTTACCGAGTTCAACTGTGTCATAATTAGCATATATGTTTTGTGAGGTCATTGTGACCTTGAACTTTGACCTTTGTGCCAAATTTGAAGAAGTTCCCTCAAAGCGTCACTGACATATCACGTCATCTGGGAGCCATGAATGTCCACACAGAGTATTTCTCAGGTGTGGAAGTGAGAGGTGAAGTCAGAGGACGACCAAGACATTAGGATTCATCCTCTGAGGAACATGAATGTCCGACGTTTGAGAGAGAGACATACTGGCAAACAGAGAGAGAGAGAGAGAGAGAGAGAGAGAGAGACAGAGAGAGAGAGGTGTATACGTTGGTGTGTCAGAGCAAAGGATGCACACCGGATGAACAGATGCTTCAATTACTGCTCGTAACTCACATTAATCGAGAACAGATGGCAACACAAGTGGCGGGAGTGAGAGAGAGAGAGAGAGAGAGAGAGAGCGAGAGAGAGAGAGAGAGAGAGAGAGAGCGAGAGAGAGAGAGAGAGAGAGAGAGAGCGAGAGAGAGAGAGAGAGAGAGAGAGAGCGAGAGAGAGAGAGAGAGAGAGAGAGAGAGAGAGGGTGAGAGAGAGAGAGAGAGGGTGAGTGAGAGAGCATCACACAAACCAGACGTGATGGAGATTGATGTCTTAGCAAATCAGAGAATCTGCCTCAAAACGCACGGATGAAACCTTCACTCCCGTTTCACCCGGAGACAAAGTGGATTGAACCTCATTATTATTTCAGCGGGTTGATTGCGGCGGCGACGCCGTCTTCGCGCGGTTTAGAGGACGTGGAAGACGGAGACGTGGCCTCTGTGGAGGAGGAGGGAGGCCGAGAGGAGGGAGGCCGAGAGGAGGGAGGGGAGCTCCCTGACACACCTGGCAGACTGGAGCCAGCAAACACAGCACACAATAAACAGCGAACCGTCTCCAGAATCATAATAATCAACAAATGAACATCAGTGTGTTCAGAGCGAAGCGTCACACATTTCTTCCTTTAGGAGCCAGATCTGGTTGGAATCGTTCACGACTAATTCGCAGGGATCGTCCAATTCATTATATCCGGGGTCTTATTTTAGTCTTGGCCGTCGTTTCTGTCGGTTTTAGCAACTTACTGATTTAATTGGTGTACGATCTGGGAAAATCACAACACTGCTTAAAAAAAAAGAAGAAGAAGACAAGGCGAGGGCAAGAAACACAATTAGGCAAGTTACACACAAGTCAAAAGTTTAGCCCGATCATAATTACTCTGGTGCACAGACTGAGATGTAGCTCGTTCAGATGTGTTTAAAAGAGTCAGACAGAGACGTCAGTGTGCTCACACATCACAGTCTATTGTGGTCTATTATTAAGCTCCATGTTGTGGCTGTTTCAACAATGTCTNTCTGTGTTTAAAAGAGTCGGACAGAGACGTCAGTGTGCTCACACATCACAGTCACAGTGCTTCGTTCATTTGTCCAATCATAACTGGTCTATTATTAAGCTCCATGTTGTGGCTGTTTCAACAATGTCTGAGTTACATCTCAGTCTCAAGTAAAAAGCTTAGTTTGCAGACGTCTTTACCTGTTGGAAATAAGAGAAATATATCCACCTGAGATCAGACAGGAGTCATCTTCAGTGTCGATAAAACATATCTTAAAACAATCTTTTATTGGAAAGCTTTTATGAATGTTTGGTGTGTTGTTGTGTTTTATTCTCCCATGATACAGACAATCAGTATTTTCATGTAACTTAACGTCTGTTTTATGATGTGTTTGTTTTTCTAATTCCCCCTTTTTTCTTTCTGTGAAGCACTTTGTAACTTTGTTGAGAAAAGCACAATATAAATAAAGTTTATTATTATATATTATATAATTCTAGCACTTAAAACCAGAATAATAGCAAATATAAACAGTCCACCTCTAATAAACTGTTCAACATACACATAAAGTCAATAATAAAATGAATTATTTACACTCCAGCCAACATTAGCTAAACATTGTTAACTTTATCATTATTCTTTTCTATTGTAAAGAGTTTGAATACTGGGACAGTAAAGCACAAATTTAACT